CAAGTCAAAATATAAGGATTAATGGAATATGACAGAAAATGATAAGCAGTGATGAATTACATATTACTCTTCATAGGCCTTAATTTTAATAGTAATCATGAACATGGTGTTATATATATATATATATATATATATATATATATATATATGTAAATGTACCTGCTGTGGAAAGTCTCCGTTTTCCATCTGTGAATTGATCAGTACTCTTGCGGCACGATGCAGTGGGGTGGGATCTCTCTTAGCCTATAATGTATATCAATAAATTAAGTTGATCAATCATGAGAATAATAAAAATAATATTGTCCTCTTTTGTTATTATCATTATTTACTTCTTTTACCTGTCCAGCTTCAATGAGAGCTAACATTGCCCAGGAAGTGTTTACCAGATGCGACTTGTTCTCGGGTAAGTTTGTATACACCTATCATCATGTTCTGAGATGATTAAATGTGTACATACATACATATACATATATATATATATATATATATATATATATATACCCACATATAGATAATAGATAGATTATTTGAAGAATAAAATTATCAAAAAAAGAGAAAAAAACCTTGTTTTGGGAGGAAAGAAAGCTCTCTCCCCATCCGCCACAAGGAAGCTGTTTGGATAAAAGGAAATCACAAGCTTTTCTGACGTGATGACTATCCTCGTAGCTTCTGCCTCCATTCACCAACCCTTTTATTCCAAACCAAGTGCCATAAGTATAACATATCCCCCACGATCCATACCTAATTTACATTAATACTCATCATTAGTCCCAAATTAACCATTCCATTATTAATTACTTACAGAGTTGGTCTATTCAGGAATCACCAATACAATTATACAATAATATAGCAAAAAATAGTATGACCTCGTATAAAATTGACAAGCATCAATCGAAAAATAGACTAACAGTTACTAGAACGATGTAAAGAAGATTGTAATGGTTAAGAAGAAAAGAAAAGGTTATAGAGTCTGTTGTATACCACGACCCATCAGCCTGCTGAATGTTCTCAATGAAGTGAAGAGCCTTTTGGATGCAATTACTGATTTCTTTTCTTCTATATCCAGGATGCAGTTTTGTGAATGCTTTCAGTCCCTGAATTGCAGCCGATGTGCATTCCACGTACCTATAACCATACAATTTAAAAACATTATTCAAAATTCCAGGTAAATTTTCTTATGACATTTTATGTATGTAAGTAAGTATTGGTTGTCTTACGGATAATCTATGACGATATCTCCAAATGTTTCAGATGGATTGATTATCTGATGCATTTAAAACAAGAACTCAATAGTTGTATTTGTCAAATTAACATATCAATGAAAGAATGAATGGCCTACCTCCAGCCATGGATAAGATCTTGTCAGCTCATATGATGCAAATCCTCCATTTTTGTTCTATATATGTTCAGTTTAAAATTGCATTCAGCGAATCAGCTTGATAAAGCATAATTAATTAGTTAATTAATTACAAGTAAGTATGTACCTGTAAAGATAACATCAGATTAACGGCATCGTATAATTGTTCAGTCGGTATTGCTTCTCCTACAATCTCAGTTGGCATCTTAGATAATAACACTGCTACCTGCATTATTACACTTGGATATATTAAACAATTTATTATGTTTCATTAATCATTCTCAATTGGGTTTTAACTGCCATCTAATGATACAAAGAATAATAAATTATATTTATTTTTTTTTTTTGGGTATAAAAATGTGTTATATCATTTTATTATTACTGATTGACTCGTAAATAATTTCATAAATTTCACTTATATCTCAGAATTTTCTATTTCCCATAATATAAAAAAGAATACCACATTTACACAAAAATAAGTTATTAAATGTGAGACAAGAAATTAGAGTTACTACCTTCAAACCTTCGGCAGTACAATCAGAAACGGGCCAACCATTGTCGGGTGTGGAAAAAGGCCATCCTCCTTTAGAAATGTGGCGATACCACGTTTGGGGTTCACCGGAGCTATTTTCCCTCACCTAATTTTCATCATTATTTTAATTAGTTAATTAATTGGTGTGAATATATATAGATATATATATATATATATATATACACATACATACGTACATGTAGAAGCAATTAATGATGAAAAGAAATTAATTAGCACGCACTTGAGTGTTTTTAACGAAATTGTGTGCTTTCTTAAGTATTAAGCCGTATTCATCTACCAGGTTTGTGGCAACAATTGCTTGAACAGCGAAGGCCACATCCCAAAATTGTGACCCATTATATCCCTGCCAATTAAACCAAGACAAATATTACTCAATTCTTTTTTTTTTTCAAATAAAATACTGTAATATAATACAGTAGATTATTGAGAAATATTAAATTTTATTAACAACATATAATATAATATAATATTAATAACATTTAATATAAGAAAGAAAAAGGAGAAACTGTACCTGCATTTTCATGCCATCCTCAGCTATCCAGAGATAATCTTTAATTCTAGAAAGATGGTACTTATAGGCATCTGAATTTGGGTCTTCCACCCAGCAGCAGATCATGTTTAGCACCTATACGTAGAACCAACGTACATATATAAGTAAAATAGTAGCATATATAGAGAAATTTAATTAAGAAAAGAGGAAATGTTACCTTGTTGACCGGAGCAAGACAGGTATATTGAGTACTTTGATCTTCTTGGTGGATGTGTTGCATGATGGTTTGAAGGGCCTTGTTTCTGAGCTTAGAAAAGGGCCAGTTCATAAGCATAGGCTCCACCACTTTGTGAAGATATCCCCACAGTATGTCTTGTACCAGTGGATGTGGATAATACAAGTCTTCCTACTAACACTCTTAATTAATCAAAATTACTATTTACATAAATACGGTCAAATATTTAAAACATTCATAAATACAGTCTAACTATCAAAAAGTCTAAATAATTCGGCTATCCATAACAATATCACTTTGAAATTTTCATGTTTTTTTGATATTTGCCATTATAAAGTTGTGGATTTAAATTAATAAAGCTCTCTTGAATAATCAAAACTTTGTGATTAATATGCGTAGATAAGATCTTATAAGAAAACCAATTTAAGAAAATTAGTTGAGTAGACTAATACACTAAGATTATGCATTGTGAATAAAAATGAATAAGATATGGCGTCGGAAAATAATTATAATAAGTCAAATAAATTTGACAGGAGGTACGGTTCTAAGTGGGAACCGATTATGTAAACAAAAGAGGGATAAAAATTGTCACATAATATTTTCTTTTAAATAAATTAGTGTAGTACTGTACATATTTTAAAATAAAATTTTGTTTCTAGTTAGTGACAAAGAACCTTAACTAGTAGTTATAGAGTTTAATCGTAATTTAATGAAAAATTATTATCATATTTTAATTAAATTTTTTTATTATATTATAATTTAAATATACATAATGAAAGATATAGAATTTAAATTTTATTTGATTATAAATTTTAAAATTACATTATATAAATTTTTAATAATTAATTTATTCATCGTACTCATCCAACATGCAGATAATTTATTAAAAAGTTAGATATGATGTATTTCAATAGAATTTTATTTTTAATTAATTACAAAAAAATATGATAAAAAATCTTACGATATTCTAATTATAAAAAAAAAATGTTAATCGGTTACTGTTATTTATATATTATAACTAAATGTATATAATATGTCAAAAAATTTTAATTTTTTGGTTTGGTTAGCTATTTAAGTTTTTTAAATATAAAAATGGAATTAACTTTTTAGTTGGTTGCCAAATTTACGTAATAATAATAATAATAATAATAATATATTTAAATTTTCAATCAATTACTAATTCTGTAACTATGTACCATATAATTATTTATTTACTATACCTCATTTTATCATGTAAATGTTCTACCTAAAAGCAATACCTTGGCACAACGATTTCTGGCGCGGTCCCAATCAACAAGGTGATAGGGGGTGGTGTATAGCTCTGTTCTGAGTGACAAAATCAAAGAACTGACGGGTCCCACAAATCTCTTTCCATACAAATATGACATGGACAAATATACCATGCGACAGTGACACCACATCCGTCCTATAATTTCAAGGGTCAATAGGTAAATTATATATTTTTTTTTATAAAAAAAATTAAATACCAATAATTCCAAATAGAACTTGAGAAATATCTTTTTCAACAAAAGTACAAGGGTTTCTTTGAAGTACCTGGATGTGTGGGCAGAGAGTAAGGTTGAAGCCACGTCTCTGGTTGCAGTGGATTATTGCCACTCCACTCGTACGCTCCGAGTATCTAAAATTATTTATTTATTTAACTATTAAATACTACAACAGAGAAGTAAGTAAAGCTTGATAATTATATTTACAGTCTGATACCGAAAGCCAGATCTTGCCCCACGAGGGAACGAAAACGACTCCGCCGCGATCAACAATCCAACGTCTGCCTGTATCCATGGCTCCATCACCACCGTCCATTTCTTCCCCAAGAAGTCTCAAGGTGACATATGATAGAACCGTACCGAACATTGTGCTGGGCCCTTCTATATGCAATCCCCAACCCCCGTCCTCATTCTGGATGTCAGTTCACACCAACATTTTTCTTTTTTTTTTTAAAAAAAAAAATAATAATAATAAGACAAAAATGTAATTCTTTAATTACACCACTTCCACACCCTTTTTTTGTTCCCTTGTCTGTCCCCCCACACATAAATAAACAAACAACATAATTAATAATTGAAAATGACCATTTTTATAATTTGTTAGTTATTATTATCATCATTCCTATTGAAAGTGCAATTATTTACGTTCCTACATTTTATATAATAATCGGATCAGATCAGATTGGGTTAAATATTATACCCAGAAAAAAGAATGAATATACACACCTGGTGGTTGTATATATAGCGGCACATTTCTTCACGATGAGGAGCTGCCAATACTGTGCTCAGACCTCCCGTCACATATAAACCAATCACCTACACCCACAATTTTAATTTGTTATCATAATTATAATAAATAAACAAATAAATGAATTTAAACCAACCCATGTGTGTATTTGAAATTAAATTTATGTTTTTAGAATTGGAGATTACGTCCCCTGCATGGGCTGGTCCCATAAAATTTATTCCTGCGTGTTCATATACAGTTAGATGATAGATGCGGGATTTGTTTTTGACTTTGAATGATTGAAGATTTACAATTTATATATATATATATATATAATGTGTGTTTTTTCATATCTGCCTCCTTACATTTTGTTTTATATTTTGTCATTATTAGGATAGCATTAATTGAGAAGAAAATTAAAATGAAATGGGGACCACAGAACATTTGAATGGAACTTGTAGCCCTACATAATTGTCATCATCTTCCTTTAAAATCTGTACTTGGAAGCAGACAATCACTTTAAATACATCATTAATTTATAATGCGGCTATATATCATTAAGACCGTGTTTGTCCAAGTCTGTATAATCTTACTAATTTTATCTTTGACGAATATATAAATAAATTAATATAGCTCAATAAATTCATGCCAGCTAAATATTTCAATAGCTTACTTATTAAAAACAATTATATTAGTTTATACCTTTCTTAAAATCTTTTAACTTGTATAAGCTTCGGTAGAATAAGTTAAAGCCAAACACATTTGAAATTTGATCAAATAAGCTCTTTCATGACCAATTTCTCAATTAAGAATTCGATATTTATATCATGATTGGATATTAAAGAAAACTAGGAATGATTGCTTTGTTTTCAGGTTATTAATCATTTAATAAATTCGTTGATCTTAAAAAGAAAAAAAGAACTTAGAAGGTTGCAAATGACAATTTAAAACTTATACTAGATCTCGAATTTGTAAGCTCACCAATCTACGGAATATAAGTTGATTACTTCTCTAACGTGATTCCTAGGCTACCCCATGGTTCTGCAATAAATGATTACTCAAAAGAAGCTTACCTTTTCCTCGGAGAAGGAAAACAAGAAAAAATAAAAGATATGCAGGCATAGTTAAATATGATTATTGTTAATTGAAGAAATAAATTACCAGGCCAGGCATGAGAAACAAAGGGCCTCCGTAGTCAGAAGGCCAGAATCCATCTTCAACTTGCAGGCTCCCGTAGAAGCCAACAGCTCTTCTTAAAATGTCGCGCACCATTCCCTTGGTTATATCCTCCGTTTTTTCCACTTTAACTAATTTATTTTCTCCCCATTCCGGAACATGATTCTGATCCCTTGCAAACTGGAATATGCAATATGAATCTATCTATGCATGTACATATAAGGATTTAACGAAATGAATTCAAATATAACAAGGAATAAACCTGAAGTCGCATCATGAGATCGGAACTTTGCTTGCATCGGAAACGATTGCTGGTGAAGTGATTTCGGAGTTGATCAACTTGAGCTCGTTCATCTGGAGTCCCAGCGTCTGGATCAAACTCCCAGAACATTCTGCCTATGTGATTGTTCACACTAGTAACCCACGCCTCATTCTCTCCCTCACTTACCTTGAGCTTCCACATTCCTTTTTTGATTTCAATTTCAAATTAACCAATGCGCTTGACTCTGCAGAGGGTGCCTTTTTATATAGGGATTAGGATCTTGGAAAATTACCTCAATGCCCCTCTATGACGTCATATTTCACCGTACACGTTCTTTTTGTTTTCTCATTAATTAATTTCTTCTATGGTCTACATAATTTAAAGAAGGGTATCTAACCCTAGACTTATGAGTCTAAATTTATAAATAATCAATTTTAGTTTAACTTTAAATGCATAGTCTGATCTTTAGGCAATGACCAATTTTGATTATAAATAGGGTATTAATTATCATGCAGTCGTTAGTTACAATAATTTTATGATATTGAATTTAATTAGTTTTGTAATTGTTAAAAATTTTAAAACTATTTACGATCAAGCTATTAAAATCTCCTATTCTTCTTCGTCTGTTTCACTTACCAGCTCCCCTGCTGTGCTCTTTATTTTTTTTTTTTTAAATTCAAAAATCAATTATTTTTTCTAGGTCAACGAATGCGAAATAAAAAAAAATGTTAAAAGACCAACTTAATCTTTTTTATTATATTAAAAATAATTAAATATTAAATATTTTTTCTATTACATAAAACTTTGTTTAATTAACAATAATCATATATTCAACTTACTAGCACAGAATAAATGTATTAGCAAGAAGATTACATTGAATTTTTTTAACTACACATAAATAAAAGTGTTGAAGAAAAAAAAAAAAAAAATAGTACACAGAGAATTATACATAAAATATTATTTGTTTTTTACTAACATAGTCACCAGTTGATTATAGTTAACTTCTATGCATATGCAAGTATTTTCATTACGTGTTCGTATTTACATGTATACCGATACTCAATCACGTGCACAAAAATATTTAAATAATATTGGTTGCATGTGGTAATTTTTAAAAAAATAATATATATCTTTTTTTAAATATTTATTACAAAATCTATTTTTATGTTCATATTTTATTAACTTTACATGTATGGATACAATATATATATATATATATCTGACAATTATTTGGATTTGTCATCAGACAAATTATAAGATTATCAAATTAATTTTATATTATCAAAATGATTAGCACCAACTACAAAATGGAACTAAATTATCGGGTCAAACGGAATTGGTTAAATTACCAAATAGAACTAATACGCATTGGTCAAAACTGATAATTATTAAAAATCAATTCCAATCCAAGCCATTTTGCAAATCTAAATTTACACACAAACATACACATACACGCATATAGCAAATATATATATATAGCAACTGAGATTTTCGATTAATTATATGCAGCTTGTTGATCATATTTCCACGTACGCATGATTTGTAATTACTTCATCCCCAACCCACGTTAAATGTATACACACACACACACACACAGACACATACATATAGAAGTTATGGATCCTCATAAATTGGTACAGCTTTTACGATTCACAAATCGTCTTTTTCAAATTGCTTTGCCTTTTTCTTTCAATGCCTATATATATGTACATCTGTATTTATAGTTGCGAGATGGGTTAAATTGTGTTTGCAGGCGAGACGTGTGTCCCAAGAGGGTAATAAAATGACGATGGCTGTGGTGCTTGTGGCCGTGGCTGCAACAATTGGGAATATGATACAAGGATGGGATAATGCAACCATCGCCGGTAACTACAATATATATATATATACACACACATAAATATGCCCATTATGATCATTAATATACAGATATGTATGTATTGAGGTTTGCAAGTATATTTAGCAATTCAGGTTTAACACGTATATGCGTCTCGTGTGTTTGTTTGACTTGAAATTAGTGAGAGGAACATTGAAGGTTGATTATATATATTATTGTTATAATTGATGCAGGAGCCATTCTTTATATCAAGAGAGAATTTCAATTAGAAAAAGAAGCAACAACAGAAGGGCTAATTCTAGCCATGTCACTGATTGGAGCTACATTTATGAGTATATTATGCGGACCATTAGCAGATTCCTATGGCAGACGACCAATGCTAATTCTATCATCTATCCTATATTTCATTTGTGGTTTGATCATGTTATGGGCTCCTAATGTTTATGTACTTATTTTGGCGAGACTGTTAGATGGCTTTGCTATCGGTCTTGCTCTTAATTTAGTTCCTATCTATATATCAGAGACAGCTCCTACAGAGATTAGAGGATTCTTAAACACATTTCCTCAGTTGTGTGGATCTACAGGAACCTTCCTTGCTTATTGTATGGTGTTTGGAATGTCCTTAAAAGATTCACCTAGTTGGAGATTCATGCTTGGGCTTCTTTCCATTCTATCTCTTGTTTATTTTGCCTTGACACTCTTTTTCTTGCCTGAATCTCCACGATGGCTTGCCAGCAAAGGTCGAATAATTGAAGCTAAACGGATTTTGCAAAGACTTCGTGGAAACCAAGATGTTTTAGGTTTATCCCTATAATTATCCCTGTAAATACTGTACTATTCTTTAAATGTGTTCTTATATTAGTTTTCATGTGTAGGTGAGTTGGCTTTGCTAGTTGAAGGACTAGGAGTTGGGTATCAAACATCAGTAGAAGAATACATAATTGGTCCTGCCAATGCATTGAGTGACGACCATGAGACCATAAAAGAAGATGAAATTAGATTATATGGACCAGAAGGTGAAGTTTCATGGGTTGCCAAACCTGTGAAAGACCAAAGCCTATTAGCTGCAGTATCTAGCCAAGGAAGCCCTCCATCTCCTGGGTTATCCCTTGTTGATCCTTTAGTTACCCTTTTCGGAAGCATTCATGACAAGCCACTTTCCGAAACAGGAAGTCTAACACTTTTTTCAAACATGGGGAGTATGTTGAGTACAGAACCACAAAACGGGAAACAAGAAGACTATCGGATTTTCGAGAGTCTAAAAGATGACGATCAAGATCTTACAGTATCAGTTGTGACTGATTCTGATAATGAGGAATTGCATAAACCTTTCTTATCACGCGAGGCTACTGGCACAGGCACACCTAGCCAGCTTCCAGCTGACACCATGTTTAGATGCCATAGTAGCATGATGCAAGGAAATGATGATGAACCGAGTAGCAGCATGACAGATATAGGTGGTGGTTGGCAATTGGCATGGAAATGGTCTAACAAGATTGGAGGACCACAAAGGATATATTTACACCAAGAGGGTAGTCCTGCTTCTAGGCGTGGATCTATTGTTTCAAATCATGCTGCTGATCAAATTAGTGAAGAAGGAGATAAATTCATTCATGCTACTGCACTAGTCAGCCAACCCCAAGTTCACCCTTTACAGCTTGTTGCAAAAAGGCCAAGTTGGAGGGATCTTTCTGAACCGGGAGTCAAACGGGCATTATTTGTTGGAGTTGGCATGTATATACTTCAACAGGTGAAATTTTGTTTAATTTCATTTCATTCCTACTATTCTAGTCCCTTTTGTTTAGTTTAGCTCTGTTAACATTAGACAAAGAGGAGAAAATTTTGAGCTGAAAATCATTCACATTCTTCACTGATGCAAGTTTTCAACTTGTAACTTCAAAACCTCGTGGTTCTTCAATATAAGTTTCCCCATTCAAGTAGCTTTTCCAAGAAGATTAATTTGATATCAAGTTGATAAATATTCTAAATTGTTTTGAGCTACTAAGTAATAATCAATTTCACTCTACCATATCTGGCTACTAGTGCAAAAGGATTAGTGAACTTCCATCCTACGATCTTGGAGTATTCTTTCACATCCAATCTGGCCTTCAATATGTCAAGTGAACCATCAGGATTCAACTTGGTTCTATATATATATTCAAGTCCTATAATCTTCTTGTTAACATGTTCGGTAATAAGAACCTAATCTTGTTCTCAAAATCATATATAACTTTCCTCCACTTTCTCCCACTTAAGTTATTGTAAAGCTGCTTCAACTCTAACAGGGAAATATTGCATTTATCATAAATTTCTTAAAGAGATTATGTACCTCTTACTACATGATCAGCATTTACTTGACAATCAAGATTTGATATCTCTTCCTCAATAGATACTTTCTGATTTGTAGCAGTATCTCTTCCCCAATAGGTACTTACTGATTTGTAGCAGTATCTCTAAATATAAGTTGAACTGATGAAGTTTCAACCACTGCCTTATCCCAATTTCAGTGAGAATTCTCATCAACATTGACAATTCTTCCCACAATCACTTGCTTTGTCTAAATGTTGAAGTCTTTATATCCTTTAACATTGTCGGCAATGCCTAGGAAAATGTCTACTTGGGGTACAAGCATTAAAGGCTACCTACATATATCTTTCCATAGAGTCATAATTTATTGCATTTGGTTCTGAAAACCCTTTCAAATCTATCTTAAATCTAAAGTTCGCGCACTGTGAGATCAGACTAATACATTGCTTTTTTTTCCTAGCCCAAAGTTAACAGAATGTAAGTTTAGGATTATGTATGTGAAGTATATATAATTTATTGATTGTAACTAATATGGAGTCGGGTTGGAGATGCAGTTTGCAGGAATAAATGGTGTCCAATTTTACACTCCCCAAATTTTGGAAAAAGCAGGTGTGACAGTTCTAGTATCAAATTTGGGATTGAGGATTGGTTCAGATTCTATATCACTCCTCATCAGTGCTCTCACATCGTTGGTAATGCTTCCGTGCATCATGATTTCCATGAGGCTAATGGATGTAACTGGCAGAAGGTAATCGTTCTTAATTTGAATTAAATAATTATCCTAATTCATGAAAAATTTAATGTTGTTCTTTTTTTCTTACATATTCACAAGGTACCAATTGGGTACCATCTATTTACGTGACATTCTCAAAATTTTCCATCCTATAATTTAATATCGTTTTTGGTGTTACAGGGGAATAATGTTGGCCACGATTCCTATTCTAGTAGTGGCACTGGTGGCGTTAATAGTTAGTAGTGCAATTAGAATGGGAAGTGCAATTAATGCGACTATATCAACAGCAAGTGTAGTGGTGTACTTGAGTTGTTTCGTGATGGGTTTCGGGGCAATTCCAAACATCATATGCTCAGAGATATTCCCTACCAATGTGAGAGGACTCTGTATCACAATATGTGCTCTCACCTTTTGGGTTGCAGACATTATTGTCACATATACAATTCCAGTTATGCTCAAGGCAATAGGGTTAGGGGGGGTGTTTGGGATCTTTGCGGTGGTGTGCAGCATATCATGGATATTTGTCTTTACTAAGGTTCCTGAGACAAAGGGCATGCCCCTTGAAGTCATCTCTGAGTTCTTTGCTGCGGGTCCTAAAACTGAGACAAAACTAATGAATTAAGACTTTCCTTATTAGGATTTTATTAGCTATTATTTCAACCTTTTTGTTATCTAAAATTATATTGTTCAGTCTACTTTAAATAATTCTTCACTTTAATCTCCACATTTCTTCTATTTCTGACCTAAATTCTATCTGTCGCTAGACTATTCAAGACACAAATTAACATCTCATGCATCACCATATGTACTGAAAGTGCAAAAAGTAAACTACATATACAGAATGTAGAAACCACAAACTAAAGAATAAATAACAAAAGAAATAGAACATGTGTAGAGAAGCAGCATACCTTGCTCAAATAATTAGCCTCATATTCTGTTATTAATAGCCTTTATCTGCTCGTATAAAGCTAATATATATATATATATATATATATATATACATATTTTATAAAAACAATCAATTCTAAATAATGCACAATTTCTTAAAAAACAAATTATTATTTCATAGATAATTTGAATAATCTTTAAATTTTAAAAATGCTAAAGATACAAGTCTTTTACAAATTATTGTAGCAATTAACTTAATTGATTCTTGTGCGTAAATCAATTAAGAAGAATGGTAAAGGCAAGTCTTAGCCAACAAAGACCTCCGCCCACACTCGCCAACACCTCTCTTGTCGTCATTGTGGTGATGGTAGTGGTGATAATAAGATAAAATATTTTCGCATGGTTCAGGAGCACAATTTTCAAACATTTCAGGTCTGATTGCAAGCCAACTAATATAGCTAGCAACTTTCTCCATAAATCCGCAGTTCAGCCACCTTCACAACATGATAATTTGGAATTCAAAACATTCAATATAGTCTCTCTCCTGACATTGACCAGCATTATAGATAAACTAATAGTTCAAAAAAATATTCCGAAGAAATGAGCCAAAAATGATTAGGTACATAGGCATGGACACTGATACTTTCCTGGATTAATTGCTTGCAGAAACGAGATGCAGAAAGCAAAAAGAACTCACGGAATTACCCAAGAACTTGCATGCATAGTTATATTCATTGTGCAACATACATACTGTGAAGCTCCTTTTCCCTTACCTGATCCCCCCAATAGTGACACAGCAGGAAGTTTAGTAGAATGAAACTTAGGAATGCAAGAAGTTGTTGCACCAAAAATTAATACCCTCTTCGATCAATCATGTTGTGTCCTCGTCATCGCTGCTGCCCCCAAACATAGTAGCCATTTTCAAGGCCAACTTAGCAGCCATTTCCCTCCTTTGAAAATCAGGCATTAGTCTCAAGTTGTCACGGATGTTCCCTATCTCAGACATCAAATGTTCCAAATCCTCAAAATCGAAGTGTGTACCTTCATCTGATTCTGCAGCTTTGTCAGACCCTTCTTCATTGCACCCCACTCCCTTGCCAACCTCATTCTGCAATTCCGCTGCAGATGTTGAGGGCCCGGTCTCTTCTTTATCAACTCCAGTTAAATTCTCTTGATAACCTTCAGGAAATGGAGTATATGGACAAACAGCTTCTCTTGCATCTGGGAGACTATAAATTCCATCTGCAGAAACCCATGTTTCATTGGTTTCATCCCATTGTTCAGCCAAACCCTCTGATAGCACCTCATACTCAAATTCAAAATCTGGTTCTTCTTCAGAGAACTCTGTCATAGAGAATTAGAACATGTATCAGTCCGCTTAACAAATAAGAAACCAAATACAAATCTTTAGACAAAGAAAGGAACTCAGATATGAATGAGGGAGGCACGGGCTAACCTTCTCTCTCTGGTAAGGATGGTTCAGATATCTTATCCCCAGATTTTAAGATCATTCCAGGCCACATATGAGCAGAGAGCGCACCATATAGACGCTCAACTCCTTGTAAATCCCCATCAACTGACAAACCTGTATAGAACAGCTTAAAAATCTCTACATAGATACTGTGTGATCTTTCTTTAATTGCTTGATTTGTTAGGTTAGGTGTTATTCACAGTCATCAAACTTACATTGGTACTCCACTTTCTCCTTTGCAGTAATTTATTTACAAAGGGGAAGCCAATAGAAGTATTTTAAATACAAATAGCACTTACCATCTTTTTGTAATCTACAAATCTTCTTGCAGGAAAGATATTATGCGTTCTAATACTTTCTTTTGAAAAAGACTGTGTCCTTTTTCATTTTTCTTGAAAACCTTTTTCTGGCAGAATTTCTATCATTAAACTAAATATTCAATTTATGGCCAGAAGATAAGAGCTTACATTTGTCAAACTCAGCACTAGAGGCACACGCTTCAATGAATTCAATATTGTGTTCATGGCACCATTCCAAACATGATTTTCTTATATCCCAGGAAGGTTCTTCCTCCCCTAATAGACTACTTCCTTCAGTCTCAGAAATCCCATACTCTCCAAGTTCAGAATAAGCATTTGCTGAGTTGTCTGTGAGCTTAAGCATGTGTCTTCTGTATTCAGCATGAACAGGATGACCTGGAACAAGATCCACTTTGTTCCCGATGCACAATAGTATGTCAAAACGTTTAATATCATTGCAAGATACCCAATCCTTAAGGGCAACAAGGGTTGATATCTGCACAGTACATTTATGTCGAGCATCAACAAATCATGCAGGGACAAAAGTATGACATTACACATCATAAATTATGCCAGGATGAGCATCCAAGCATCCATGAAATTTGAGAATCCAAAAAAGATGTAATGAAAAGAACCTAACATCAGTCATGTCGAAGACCATAACCAATGCAGCCAACTGGTCAGAAATTGTCATGTTGACAGTTGAAAATCCATCACAAAGATGACTCATCCACACAGCAACATCAGCTGTGTAATACTTTGTGTTGATAGTCCACCTGATAAAAAGGCACATCTTACTGACAAAACTTTGGAGAAATTAGAAAGAAACCAATAGTTAATGGAGTCAACATACCCACGTAAAAGTGGTTGGGATGACAAGTCTGGGGCATCTTCAAAATCACAGGAGAGTAATCCTAGAACAGACATGCACACAGTTCAAGTTGAAACCAATAATTGAGTATGTAAACAACAAAACACAATTCTGACGACAGAAGTTTGGTACAAATTGAAAAATATACAAACCTAATTTCTAAGAGAAAAAGGGAGTCTACTTTACTAATAATGAAAGAAATTATCAACAAACAATAAGCATACCCATAAAGTTAAAAAAGAGTTTAAGATGTGATATAAGGAGCAAAGTTCATGAAGTAATTTTCCTACAATGAACACGTAGACAAAAGGGTAACATTATGTTTGGAAGTTCAAGATTAAAACAAAGTACATAGAATAGTAATCAATCCTTGTTTGGGAATTAATTATAATAAAAAAGACAAATGAAATTCCTGACTTCATCCTTCTTTGGCTGAAAAGAGTAAAGTAAAATAGAGATTTACTAGTAGGACAAAAAAGTATTGTCAGATAAATTAGGACATCCTACTTTGGCGGGCAAATAATTAGAGGTTAAGTACGATATAAGGAAGTTATAATTTTGTCCATCCCCGTCAAAAACCGTCAAACAGGGGTTGATATCAGATACTAGTTTACTTACTTCTTTCACCTTGAAAGGCGAAAAAATAAAAACGAAATCCGAAAAGAGCTGTAAGTGGCACAACAGAGAAAAGGAGTAGGCATGTCAGGAATCAAATCCTTTTAAAAGAATGATGAAGTTATGTTAATCGAGAAGAAATAGAACTAAAAGTAGATCAAATTCACATTATATTAAGGAAAAAAAATATATAAATTGGACAGGAAGAGCAGTACGAGAAAAGAGTGTGCGTTTGCCAACAGAGGAGGATCCCACAACCAATATCCCTGGCCGCATCTCCACTGACCTCTTGTCCCTTGCTTCCTCTTCTCCACTCATTTCTTTCTTCTTCCTTCTTTGGCGAAATGCTCAAATACTTGACTCCAAGAGAAAATAAATATGTTTCCTTTAAATCAGCAGCTTACCCAACCTATCATACAAATGCAACATCAATGATTTAAAATGTCATTTCCTCTTAATCAAAATGAATTGCTTGCTGTCTTCACTTTTTTCTTTTAGACTATGCTTGAAACAAATTCAGAAATTTTGTGAAATTCATTTAGAAATCAACACTTAATTCAACTAGGAGATAATATAAAGTCTATTAGAAAATATTAAAAAGCGACTTTATATAAATGTTCACGTGGAATTGGAAGAATGCGTCCCAAATTCTATCAAAGTTTATGGAATTTGAAGTTCATTGTTTTGGTTCCACGTGAAATCCATATGAGTTTCATTTTATCATTTTTTGAGAGATATTCATCATCTTCTAGTTGAGTTAAATGTGGAATTATAAATTAGTTACCCAAAAATTCTGGACTTGTTCCAAGCATAGCCATTTATTATCATGGCCTTCTTTCATAACCAGGGTACAGAGCCATATCAATGAATGAGATCTGCATTAGATATAAACGAAACCTAATGGACGTAACATTAGTTTAAAAACCATTCAGACAGTCATAGTCATATCCAATCATCAAGAACAACACCGAGTGCAAACAAAAATTAAAAACATAATCAACTAACATATTAAAAAAATCCTATACAGGAGCATGAAATAACACGTAGACTCATACTACGACTAACATTAAGGGTAATTCACTTTAAGAGTCTAGAAGACAACCACTTAGAATACAAAGAGATTTCTGCATTGGAAAGTAACATGTATTAAGGCGATCGATAAAACACATCAACCAAGAAATGAGAGAATAGCTGATAGTGTTCAATACCAGAGTAACCCAGATCAGAGCCTTAACCTCCACAAATCATAATGACTTTCATCTTACCGATAAACCCACATGAACAAGCACTACAACTACAAGTGTCCATCCCAAATAACTGGGACTCCAAAAGCAGAGCATGAGTATGGATATCCAAACAGATTTCATTATAATAAATGCATAGATTTACATACTTGAACTAGAAGCATAATTGCTCTACCACATAAAGATAGCTCATATTGATACAAAATCTGAAAATTTACATGCACTTCCTGAACATAGAAAATAAGGCAAATACCCAATTCACTCCTCAAATCATAATCATTTTACATTTTAGTCCCCAAAATGACCCAAACTTTAATTTTATTTCAAACCATAAACGGTGTTTCATTTTCGAATGAGAAAAGCTTAATTCTTATAGCTTGTTTGGATGCCTTAGCTTGTTTGTCCCCACTTGGATGCAGGAAATTCAACAACCCTACCAAGTGGATGAAGTGGCTCAAGGCCTCCAGCATGACTTAACGTTGGCTCCCTCATCAGAAACCCATATACTTGCAAGGAAGGAGTATTGAGGTATAATTGTATGCAGGAGATGGATCACAATTAAGGGAGCAACTACTACAACACCATCATGACTCACCAGTAGGAGGACATTCATGCATATGGGTCATATATAGCAAGTTGAGACAGTGATTTTACTTGCCCAAGATGAAGCAACATATGGAAGGGTTGATGGAAATGTGAAGTTAGCTAAAGGTGCAAAGAAGAAAATGCGGCTTACCTACCCAGGGTTGCTGCAATCCCTGAACATTCCCAATTAGGCTTCAACCAATATAATAATGGACTTAATAGAGCATCGCCAAAGTCAGAGGGCAAAGACAATTTTGGTAGTCGTGGATTGGGTCACCAAGTATAGTCATTTCCTGGCACTGTCACATCCCTTCACTGCGCAATCCTTCACCAGACTTTTCTTGAACCAGGTTCACAGACTCCTTAGAATGCCTAGTCCATTGTCACAGACAGGAATAAGGTGTTTACCAGCCAATTTTGGCAAGAACTGATGAAGATGATGGGAATTAAACTTCATTCCAGCTCAGTCTACCACTCACAATCAGATGGGCAGGCCAGGAGAGTTAACCAATGTATTGAAAACTACATAAGATGCATGGCTTTCAAGACGCCTAATGCCTGGTCGAAATGGTTGGGGTTAGCCAATTGGTGGTATGATAGCTTGTTTTTTTATAAATAAGATTGTATAATAGCTCAAGCCAGTCTAGCCTAAAAATGCCACCTTTCATGGCACTATACAAGTAACCTACATTACTAAAAATGTCAAAATATTAAAGAACAAAAACAATTGAAAGAAACAAAATAAACTTTCTGATTTCACTTTTTGAAACAAAATTTACTTATCCAATAAAATACTTTAAAATTTGCTTAAACTTCTAGTTGTATGATATAATCAAACCACTTAAGTGTGATGCTTAAGACTTCTTAAATATGATGTTTAAAAAACTCTAGTTGTGATGCCTATATTTTTATCCCCAAATTCCTAACTATACAAATTAACCATAATTTGTCCAACATTGATTTACCCACTATAGGGAGACGAGGGACTACATAAACACACTTAGGAAAGCAACCCCATCCAAGAATCCCAGTCCTGGACAGAATCAAACTCTAGGGTAATCATTTAATCAAAATGAAAAGAATGAAAACCAGAGGTATAATCGAAACAAATACTCACATGGCTTCAACTTGGACAGAATGTAAACTTTCCTCGACATAGTAGCGAGCCCAAAAAAAATTCTTGAAAGGAAGGAACCAAACCAAAGTGCCATGCTTGGGACATATAAGGATACAAGATTAGAAAAGACAAAACTTCCCTATGTCACACGCATTTACGAAAAATGGTCATATTCTAATTTCATTGTTAACACAAGGAAAAATCATGGCAATCTATGTTAGCAAGGAAAACACACTGGTAAGGTGAGTTTTCTAACTTGTTCTCTTTTATTTTACGCCAACCTAGCCCACCAGATTGTTTAAGTATCCTACAGATACTTCATATACAGCTCA